CTTGTCATGTCCGATTAAAGAAAAAAATAAAATTACAAATTGAAGAAAAAAAAGAACTATATTAATAGCGATTCCCCAGATATCTCCATGCTAACTCATTTCTTTAAGTGAAAGGATACTCTCTCAAGGTTAGCCAGACCAATGTACTGATATGCAAGAGATAATGATTCAGAGGCTGTCCATTTTTCTAATACATACATTAAAGTTTGGCTGCTAGAATAGCTGCTAATAGAAAAATTCTTGGCCCTGGTTTCTATTTGATAGATTAATGTGATATTCAATTAAAAAGGTAAATGGACAGAAATATGCATATTCATGGGAAAATGCAACTTCTACCCAAATGTAAGGACAGGATATGCTGTGACGTATATGTAACATTTGCACTTAATAAGGAAACATAATGGTTATTTAATGGTTATTTCAATCTGTATCCCAGCCATTATTCGACACTATACTCAGTGAAGTATTTACAGTCTCTCTTTCCAAAAGGACATACGGCCTGGTCCTGCAGTCCTCACTTTCAGCTGAGAAAGGGTTAGAGATTCAGTCCCCAAGTTTACAGCAGGTTTCACAGTATTCCTTTTAAGAGCATTAATTATTATTTCACTTTTACTAGCTTTACCCAAATGTTATTCACAGAAAATGATGCTTGAAAAAATGAAACATAAAATTTGTGTATACTTATTTTACGCCTCAATAAACTTGCCTTAAACATTTTGGATTCTATAGTAGAATAAAAAGGCCTTAAATATTTCATCATAAGCAAAGTTAGCCATATCAGAGAAATAGCCTTCCAACAGCAAATCAATGAATTATTTTTAGTGTTTTACAAACACTAATGTTATTAGGTGAGGATAGTGAAAATGCAATATTGTTTACCTACTGTATGTATTGTTTACCTGGAAGGTCTGTGTTTTATTTTCTAAAATAATGCCGGAATGGCTTAGCCTTCCAGCTAAAAGTCCATCTTAATGCCTCAGCTTTCTTCTGTGTGGTACAAATAAAAATATCCTACGGACTACCAGCTGTAGAAGAGCTTCCCCCCTATTCAAAAGCTGAGCCCTACAACTTTATGATATTAAAAATAAATTTTTGCTCAACTCTGCCAGGATTGTGGATAAACACTGTTCTCTCAGATATAAGTGACATCCATGCACATCATCTAGTGCTGAGCTTGGTGTTTTGAAATGCTGGTAAACTGATGCTTTGAATTCATGACTCAGCAAGCTGTCTTAGCAGGATCCTGAATCATATTAATGCTTATTGCTTCATGCTTCTCCTAGTCATGACTACAGTATGGCAGCAGAAATGCTTTGTGCCATGTTTCTTATTTACCTCTTTGTATTGGGAACAAAACCCAGGTTTTCTAATCATTTCTTGGAAAATATTTTGTCTTCTGAGACCATGCTTCTAGAACTTTGCAATATGAAAGGATAAATGACCAGGTAGTCAGCTGTCAACTGTGGCTCTTAACACTGTTACATATAAGGGATTTCAGGAGTAACTTAAAAAGAGCCCTGCCAGGAGGACAAATTACTTGCCAAATTAGAAACTGTGAACCATAAAAATGTCTTTGAGATGTACCAGTGCTTATAGCTAAAAGCTACAAATTCTCTTTTATGATATGGTTGGCTGTGCAATGCCAAGGGGACAGCTGCCTATTCTGTAATGTCACCCGTTTAATCAGTATGAGCCATCTCTTTTGGCTGATTCAGTGTGGTCATGTTGTAATCCTATGCCATAGTGAGAGGAATTTGCAACTACCCAGCCCCTAAATTCAAGTACTCAAGCTTAGGAAGCTGGTCTCTACGGGATACTTATACAGTTTGCAACCAGAGACAAGCTCCTCCATAAGAAAATTTAATATGCCCAAGTTAAATGCTGCTCTGAATTGTCCTCTGAAGGAACCTACTTACTGAGTATGTAAAGGTCCAAGAGATACTAGTTTCCTCACTTAGTAAAACAAACATGTGAATACTTTCTGACATGACAGTGCAACAGCAAAGCAATGACTGTGCTCCCTATCCTAGAGCACAAACTGCATTTGCAGTTTGTCTTACTGTTTTTATAGTAACTATAACTGAAAGTGCTTTTGGATTCCTGGATAAAAGACAACAGTCCAGTGAAAAAAATCATCATTGTTACTAGTATTTACTTACCTGGAGGTAAATTTAGTGCGTACAAACAAGGGGTGCAATCTCTACCATGGCTGGAGCTGTCCTTGTAACAGACTGGTGTGGTACGAAAGGAAATTTGGCATGTGATCCAGGGTTGCCAGAGAACCTCCACTTGCCTTGACCCTGCCCTCCAGGGTCTATCTGCATTTCAGACAGCACTGCACAGTGGCAATACCCAAACAAGTTTTAAATCAGTAAAATCAGGCTGTAGGATATCTGCAGCACAGCTAGAGCTCAGCAGCAGAATGAATTTTGCTGCCACAGGAATGGGACCAGGACATATCTGCTAATAGACCCTTCACAGAGAGTCAGGAGGAGTGGGAAGGCTGGCGCACAAACCTGCTGTGGGAGGAGCAAGTGCCACCTCCCGTGTTCTTCTGCCCTTTCCTCAGCAGAAGCAGCCATTTAAGCAGCTTTCATGGGCTCTGACATAGGTAAGTTGGTAATGAGGCCTGCCGGTAGTTGTGAGAGCTTAGTTAACATCAGGTAGGAGAAGTTAATAAAAGAAGACCAAAGCAACTAACGCTGACAATAAGAGTACTAAAACTCTGGAGCAAAGAAGCAGCCAGTTGTAACATTAGAGAAGTTGTTAAGCCCTTAGGGCAGAGGAGTTGTAGCCAATCGTGAAATAAGAATTGCTGTAGCGTTGTGGAGAGGAAGAGGAGTATGTCATAAAATAAAAGGTACTATTGCAATCAAAAGTAGCCAAATAAGAAAAAGAATACATGCTAATTAGTTTGAACGAAATAGCCAATATCATGTACAATGCTAAGTTAGAATTGTAACTGCATAAATAAAGGCAGAAGGGAAGAAAGGCCAGGACACCTTGGAGTGGTCCGTCCTGGTATGATACTGGCCCAAGCCCCATCTAGTGTGTCTAGCAGAGGCATTCTCTCTGTTACATAGTGCTGTCAGGGGCTATAGCTCTCTTCTGGACACAGCTAAATAGAGTCTGACTTGCTCTTTGTGTGGTATTTCTTCTCCATAAGGTTTAGGAACGGAAGGAAGACAGTTCGCATCCAGACATATCCCAACACAGTCAGGAAATGACCAGGAGCTGAGTAGTGGTTCTAGGTAGCATAGTTTAGACAAAGCCTATATAATATGAAGAACTCAACTCTATATTTTCCATTTGCCCCTCTGATGCTTAAATGGACACTCAATAGAAATCTTAATCAACTTAAGCAATAGAAATGAGATCACACAGCTGGGGTGAAGATTAACTTCTAGAATACTTTGAAATCCTAAATTAATTGTTGTTGTTTTTCTTAATACTTTTAGGACTATTTTTAAGACTAATCAAATTCCACATCTTACATGTTACGTGGGTACCAACCGGTAGCAAAGCCTCCAGCTGTCTGTCTGCCATATAGTAATTGATCAATGTTATTTTTACAGTGTTCTAAGGGCATGAATTTCTTCACAAAAGACAAAATTCATTCTTCAAAGAGCTTTTAGTGGGAACACATTGGAAGATGATTATAAATAGTGAAGAAAGAAATGATGAGTCAGAGATGGTCAGACTAGCCCTACTCAAGGCATGCAGGCAGCAGGACACTGCAAACAACTTTTTAAAATTTACATAAAAATAGGGAAAAGAAAGATGCAGAATTGCAAGTAGTAACATCTCTTTCACTGAGATGCAATGAGAGAGGCAAGCTTTCAAAATGGGCCTGAAATCACAGGAGTATGAGGAGCAAGGGAAGTGCACCTATGGGAGACAGCCTTGAAGACACATACTAGACAGACAATAACTATGAATTATCTTAATGTAACATTTTCATTCATTACTTCAAATACAAGAGAGCAAATGTCCTGAGCAGTCCCAGGCTTTTTATGGTGGAGTTTCAGAAAGGGAGCCTGGCACTATTGCAGTGCAGGCACAGAAATATGATCTCTTGCAGAAGAATGCAACAAATTTCATTTTGGTAGTACAAAAGGAGCCCTCTGTTCTGTCAGCAGAGATATGTTTTATTTCCAAGGCTGATGACTATGCTGATGAAGCAACATCTTAAGAAACAAATGGAGATTGAGGTGATATGGTTCAGCTGAGCATGCACCATTCTCCCCAGTGTAATTTTAGTGAGATTCCTCTAACTTACAACAGTGAAAGCAAAAGACCCAGAACCTGTAAAACAGTGGAGGATCAGGCAGAGACTGAAGATGAAGTACCTGATTAGGATCTCAGATAAACCTGTGCAAATCAGCAGCAGCTCCAGCAAAGTCAATAGGTACAAACTAGTGCATAACTAAAAATAATATGAAGTCCAAAATATCCAGACTTCTGCTTCTGTTTTAGATAAAATTACAGATACTATTTCTGTAGGGTTGCATGCTCCCTAAGGGGACTCATTGGCATCTTTTCGGATCACTGTATCTGAGCAGGCAGTATCCTTCAGCCATACTTGTAAAATGTACAAGCTATATTCTGCCACATTTGCTTCTCATGATTTAGTATGAATAATTAAGAAATTTGATCTTCTAATTATGTCATGTCAACAAAGCTTTTTTAAGAGACATAAAGTCCGCTCAGATATTAGAATAATCAGCAAAGTAAAATGCGAGAGAGAGAGAGAGAGAGAGAGAGAGAGAGAAAGAGAGAGAGAGAGAGAGAGAGAGATGTTTTAGAACTGCTCATTCCTCAGTTTATACTCACTTCACTGAAGATAGTCAGCTTTTTTTGATGGATGTATTATTTTAGTGCCTGAACCTAGTAAGAACTCTTAAAATCTGATACATAGTGTTTGAATATGCAGTAGGAGAGCCTTTCACAGTTATAAAGACTCATAAATACTAATTAATTATGTTTTAATCTTTTGGCAGAGATAAAGATTGCCTAAAAATATGGGAATCATTAAAGCATGCGTTCATTTACAAGAACCCCTGTAATATTACAACAGAAGATTATCAGCCTTTAATGGAGTTAGCAAGTCATCCTACACCCTGTAACAAGGTAATAGTTGTAATATGTGGTGCGCTGCATAAGAAGGATTGTTGTGGGACAACGTGTCTGTACTGTGCCTAGAATAATGGATCTTTTCCATAACTGTGAGTGTGACTAAGTCGACAAGGCAGGTATTTTGCCCTTGGGCTTACTGCAATCGTCCTGCTGTTATCACCTTTAGAACTAAGTAAACTTATTCATTATCTATTAAAACATCGTTACACAAGGCTTTGCTTCAAAGGACAATACTGAAGTCATCCTGGCAAAGTTATGGAGATGTCCCTGCTCCCTAAGCATACAGCTCTCTGAAAGGAATATGCAAGCATGCAATTAGAAGGGCACTACTTCTAAAAAGCTACTCTTCCATGCATAGTTCAATGGCACACAATAAATTAGGTGTGTATACACTATGAGAACTGATCAAAACTTTTCTTTTGAACTGACTTAGAGGCTGGACACACTCATTTCCACAAAAAATAACCACCCAAAAAGTTTTTGGAAATGGGAGCTGGAATGAGCTGGAGGAATAAAAACGGACCCGCTAACGCAAACTTGCAACATTTCAATAAAAATTAAAACTCCTTCGTTATTATGATTTTTTAAAGGAAAATTTCCTGGCCAGCTCTAGTATTAGTATCACTTATTCCACATTGTACCTTATTTCACAGTCACTGTTTTGGAGCAAGACAAATGACCTCGTTCATCGTTATACAAAGTCCAATCACAATTTCCTTACCTTGGAGGATACCTTGTTGGGTTATATGGCTGATAGGGTTTCATGGTGTGGAGACCCCTCTTTCCCAGGTAATAAGACCTATTTTTTACATTACAAATATCAACATCAGTATTCCAGGTTATTTTCTTCATGTATATGTAGACCTAAACACAGTCCCTCTTAGAATATTCTGGTCTTTATTTTAAAACCTCAACCATTTCTATCCCACGTTATGGAAAACTAAAAAATCCCGTTCAGGAACATCCCAAGTTTTGGCCATTCATAGTGACTGGAAGAGCATGTAGGTGCCTTGGGATTATTGCTACCCACTGGATTTCTGGATTAGTGCTTAAGGCTCAGGAAGTTCTAAATAGGGCTGGAATTATTGAAAATGTTGGGCAAAGTTTAATTTTTCAACAGCATTTGTCCAACCTGTTTTTCACGTTTCAAACTACATGTTTCCCATACCTAGTTTACTGGGGACTATTTGCATACAGGTCCTGCAATTGCCTGACTGAAACATGTATGAGCAAACAGGAGGACCTCCAACACGTACACATTAACTTTCCTCTTATAACTCTTTCCTCATGTAGCCGTCTTGCTTTGATAAGGGGCAAATCTTTTTACCATTGTTAAATAGCTCTCAAAGTCACATGAACATATTAACAACATTCCCTCTAATCTTACCTATTCGATAAATTTATTTCTTTTCAGGAATCAACTATGAATCTTGCCCAAAACGGAGTGAATGTGAGAGCAATCCTAACTCTGTATTCTGGAAAATGGCATCCAAGATGGTAAAATCTCGAATAAATCTCAACTACTCTGAGAATGCTGAAAGGCTCTACATTCTTGATACCACTAAAGTCACGGGCTAACGTGACTGGGACCAGTGTTTCATCCACAATATGGAAATCTACAGAAAAATATATCTCATTAAAGTTTGTTTTCTGTATTGGATTGGTTGGATGGGAATCATAAGCTTTGATCGTGCAATCAAATTTATACATTGTGGCTTCTTCCATCCCTTGAAGCCATGTTAACTATGAATAAAAATGCTGAAGTCTTCTGCCACAGATCCATCTGCAAACAGGGTCTCAATAAAAGTTTGATACCTGTAGCGTTTTTATGTAATAACTGATTTTGTGCTTAGAAAATATTTCGGATAAAATATTTACGCTTTTAAAAAAGTAAAAAAGGTAAAAAATTCATAACCAAATCTATTTTGTCACAGTCATTAAATACAAATTTATTTGAAACTATGAAGAGCTGTGCGGTGTTTGACAAGTCACCAGAGAGTTCATTTCCCTCTTGAATAATAAAAAAAAAATCTAATTTTGAAGATTGGACTTAAAACCTGGAATAGCAATAGTTAACATGGGCTTTAGCCGTAGATATTAAAAATAGTGGGTTTGGAAATTTGTATTCCCGTGGTCCCATATTTATGTACAGTATTTAATGTCAAAATAGTTTGGTTGTTCTTATTTGTGGACAGAGACTATGTGCCAGTATCTAGAAAGACACTCGGCAGACGGCTGGAGCTTCACAAATAATACTTATAATAATAATAATAACTGTATTAGTCTAATTACAGAACTGCAATTGCAAAAATAAAATACATTTTTGCATGTTAATGTCAAGGGCAGCTCACAAATTGCCATAGAATTTATAGAATAATTATGGGTAAACTAGTGTACATAAAATTTCCCAAACACGGAACAGTTTCAGTGTTCTCATTAATCCCATCAGTTTCAGAATCTGGGTGGGATAAACCACCAGGCAGACTTAGGCTTGCTCAACTACGGGCTTTCTAGTCCAAATTTAAGATCTACTAAAACTCATGATTATTACATTAGAAAATTAGACATAATTAAACTCTCCTGTAACTTCACAGCTCCCAAGAGCTGTGTTTGAGTCACGCTGTTTATACATAAGAGTGCTTGGAGGATTTGGTAAGTACAGTTATCTGTGTTAAGCTGTGTTTAAAAACTTTCTCTTACCAATGGATTATATATCTAGAGTAGTGTGGGTACTCTGTGTTGCAACCTTAGTAGTCTTAAAGTATTTGGGCACAAGTTTTAAAGAATAAATGAACAATGATTACGTGATCCAGTAATTTAAAAATCAAAGCAAACAAAACTTGGTGATGAGTTTTACTCATCCACTGGATGAGTAAACTCATACCACTGGAGAGAAAAATCCCAAGCCACAAAAGAACACAGAGCATGACTCACAAGGTAATAAATATTAATGATTCACACCTTAAACCTGTGACAACTCTGTTCTGGCTTGTCCTCACAGCATGAGTTAAAGTAGCCTGAGGACTGTTTCAAGTTACTGAGGGAGCTAACAGCCCCATCAGACAGCTGTAACTGGCAGAGCTCTGGAAAGTTGCATCATCCTATAAATACTGAAGATGAAAGGGAGAGCAGAGTTGCTGTACCAGTCCCATGCAATTTCAGATCGCCAATTTTTAGTTAGTTAATGCAGATTTATGACTGTTTTGTCATATTCTTTAGAAGCTTTTGTTTTCACTAGCATCTTCAGGTGAAGATGTAGGCCGGATCCTCTACTTGTATAAATCAGCTCAGATGACATCAAAGAGGCTACAGTAATTTCCACAAAAATCTAATATGACACAGCATGTAATGTTAGAGTATGACGTCCATTTGTTCTGTTCAGTTTGCAGAAGCAGCATGTGGTGTGGTTCAAGTGATGCTCAATGGATCGATAGAAGCTGGAGCTTTCAGAAGCAGCAGGTATTATTCAGCATGCCATCGTGCATGTTTCTCTGTGACTACTTGTTTGGGGGCCTGCATGCTGTTGAATGGGTCTCTGCCAGTGAGTCCCAGTGCAGAATGGATTTTGGTAAACTCACATATGCATCTAAACCCTCAGCGGTTGCAGAGCTGATTCACTTAATAGCCTTCTATACAGCAACTCCAGTTTAAATTCTTCTGAGGGTATGTGGTATGACCTCCAATATGCTATTACTGCATAAAGTAACTCTGTTATTACAATTAGTCTAGATCTCTGTAGTATGTTACGCTCACAGGAATGACGCATTGCTAACTACTCACCAAGCTGACTTGATTTTTCTCCTGCAGACTGTGCTTCCTTGGATTACCTGAGAGGAAATGCAGTCTTTGATAATACTGAAAAATGAAGAATGTGCTGGTCAGCAAAATGGCTATGATCATTTACTTTGCAACAAACCAAACCAATATCCAATAAACCAAACAAGAGAAAAGACACTAAAGATGAAAAAATGTCAGCTTGTTTCAGTCTGCAGACAGTTTCAAAAGTTCGCATGAAAGTTAAATATGAACGGGAAAAAAATCTTTTACCACAAGATCATTAAATATTCTTTGAAAATCCAGTGACAGGATAAGATGTTCTTTCACTGAGAATAATAGCAGCAGTAATAAACAAGCAGTAGTAGCTGGGGAAGATACTCTGTACATCTCACTTAGATACCTAAATATGTTTTACTTTTTCATGTCCCATTCTTACAGCATTTTTGGAAGTATTGAGATCTCTAACTTAAATCCAGATAAAGTCTCTGCAGTACAGATTTGGCTTATGCATGACATCGGTGGACCTCAGAGGTAAAGCGTGCTAGCACAAAACGAGTAACAGTGGTTTGTGTCTAGAATGCAGACAGTGCAATTCAATTCTGGAAAATGGCTGTCTAACAGTGATGCTATCTTAACTTATCAAACTTTCTCTACGTTCACTTTCCTAGCTCCTTACTTTAGTGGAAAAAATAACATTTTCATCATTATCTTCTTTAATATTTTTCATAGGCACTCCAGAACAGGTATAGCTGAGACAGAATAACATTTTCCTTGCATTCAGTAAGCCACATGACCTTTAAATTCCTTATTACTCTTCCAACTCCACTGACCTCTGCAGAGCCTTATTATGGGTGCAGCACTTAAGTCACAGAGCAGACTAAATCTGCAAGGGTGAACAGTTGGAGACTATCTTTCTTACATGGGAACAGCATAAATATGCAGAGCAGATGACCACCAGGCCAAGAACCGTATTTGCCAAAGTCATTTTTAATAATAAGTACTTAGCTTTAATTCTTATCATGGAACTATTGATACCAGACACTGACCTCAAATGACATCCAGTGTTGCAAGCCTTGACCTAGCATAAGCCCTAACACCCAAGAGGCTGTCTTTGCCACAGAAGCCTGAGTCACAGACATACCTCTGTCATGTAGTCAGCATGCTAGCCATACTTCTTCTGGCCCACCGCATAGAAATTAGATGAAGAAAAGGACATTGGGAAATATGTATGTATCTTGTTTCCACTACCATGGCTCTTGATTCTTTCTCCCATGATTTCCCAATATCAGAAAAAACTTCCTGCTCCTCCTTCTGAACAGTTCCAACAACCTGGTGTCCTGTCAGCCTTCTTGATTCATCATCCTCCTGTGCTAAGTGCTCCTTCACAACAATTTTCTTATTTTGCAAGTAACAAAAGGCTTTTATCTCCAGTGAGTCCTGCTCAAGTCATTCCATACAGAGGTTAAAAGGCATCTTGGAAGAGCGAAACTTCAAGATCACCTGCGAAGAAAATTATAGGTAATCACCTGCTCTGGTTTAGTGCCAGCCTGCTAACGTAAAACTAACATTGCATCTCCCTTACCACTTACAATTGGGATGTGGTTTTCTGGGGTGCTGTATTGTGGCTTCTTGGATTACAGCCAGCTAGAGCAAACTCCCTCCTTGCTTCCGTCACATCTGCAGTGATGTTGTATGTCTCCTTCCAGCTCTTCTCAGGAGCTTCCACTTGTGCTGCAAACCTCCTGTTGGCAGGGTCTGAGGCTTTCTTTATTCCCTGCACTCCAAAAGGTCAACTCCTTTCAACATGTTCAGTTTTATCTGGCCAGGTTTTCATCTATGGAAAGCTGCCTATTCGGTTTGGCTTGCCTTGCTGTTCCATGCAGGTAACAGATTATGGCAAGGATGGTCCTTACTTCCTTCGCTATTGCTTGAGCTTCCTGTCTATCCATTTGCTTTGTCAGAGAGTCAAGCGCGAGCAATGACAAGTATTATTAGTTATTGTAATTCCTCATTGGCAGGAGATATAAAAAGGAGTCTGGGAAACAAAACAGCCCAAGTCCTGACTTAGCTAAGATCTCAGCCTGCCTGCTGAGGAGTTACAAAAGCCTGAGACCTCTTTTCCTCAGCGAGGTTTCAGAGACTTTCGCACAGAGGGAAGAATGTTCTTTAGTGGCTTAAAAAAAGGAGTAAGGGTTCAGTTTTATTCATAAAGCTCAATGATCATTTCTTATCTGCTAAGAACAGCTTTCCAGAGTGAAGAACACATACTCTGATAAGAACATTTCCAGATTAAATAAACATTTCAATAAACTACTGAGTGCTAGGATTTTAATCTTCTGGAAGGCAGAGCAATATATTCCTGTTTGTCCTATGTTTTTGTAAGCTACTGCGTAGGAAGGGGCCAGGGGAGGAAAGGGAAATTAGTAGTAATTTAGATTTCCTCATGGCTCAAACTAGGGAGATACTTGTAACACATCATGAGGAATGTGTTTACACTTATTGCTATGTCTCAATTGGTTCTTAAGGCAGAATAACTAATCGAGCTTTCTGCCAAAGTTCAGTTGATACATAGATAAACAACTATGTAGAGCAACATTGACAGCTAGTTATACTGTTTCATGTACAGAGAAAGAAGAAAATCAGCAATTTGCATGTACAGTGAAACTCTTCAGGCCAGATCTAGCAAGTTAATTTCATTCCACGGAAGTCAGTGCAAACAGAGCTACGTGGGTCCATATCGGCAGAGCATCTGGCTTGACATTCCATACGGCAATTGATGCTGACCATCACCTCTTGCTTTTGTCAGTGTCGGCAGTGTCTTCCAGAAATAGCTCAAACGTTAACACACTGGATATACTTCCAGCAAGAAGTCTAAGCATATATGACATTTTTAGCAGTAGTGTTACATTGTAACAATAAGGGTTAGGAAGGGATAAGCAATATGGTGAACTTTGAGCTTGGCAGTAACTCTATATAGTCAGTGCAAGATATCTTACTTCTTTTTCATAATTATTTTTGTTACCACAGTGTAGCTGACATGCTGTAAGTTCTCATCCTCCTTTACTTTGGAGACACTTGTTCTTGTACCCAACCCCTATAAACATCAAAGTTATCTTTCTGCAGCAAGACCCCAAAAAAAAAAAGTTATCCTTAGAAAGGACAGCCGCTTGATGAGCCCAGAGGTAATATGCACTTTGACTTTCATGTTGCATTTAGTAACTGTGGTGTTATTGTTGTACATGCAAAATGACTGCTATTTGTTTGTTATTCTGTCTCATCACAGGCCAGTTCAGCTCCTTCAGTGTGTAAATAATCCTGACCACACAGACTGCCGACTTTGCAGCAGCATGGAAACTCCATGAAGCACCGCTCCACGCTATTTAAGACACTCTTTAATTGTATGTAAAACCGAGAGAGAAGATATGCCTACATAGTTTAGAGTGATAAATAGCACCGTTGCGTGTACAGAGTCAATAACCAGAAATACTTGCTGTTGATACTGACAGCTAAGTAGCAGATGATATTTTAGGTGTGATTACTGTACACAAACATATGAACATATTATTTCAGAAAGGCCAAGGATCAATATCTGAGGGCAGATGTTTTGTTCTGGTTTGTTCCCTTTTGCACAGCTGCCATTGTGCACACAGAAAGGAATAAGATCAGGAAATCCCTGGGGTGTGCATAGAGAAGAGACTTTCCAGTGAAGACAGAGGTTGCCAGCGTCAGCTCTCTGCTTCCTTCTCTGGAAAGATTAGAAGAGAATGCCTGGAGCATGCTGCACTCTTGCAGTTCCCAAGTGGAATATCCCCTAGAGGAGAATATTGTCCAGTGGTACATATCATAAATTCACATGAGCTACTTTGATTTATATAGGTCAGGGGGGAGTGAATGAGGAAGACCTTAAGTTTCTCCTCTTCTACTCCTGTCATGAGTCAAGTAGATCCCAACAAGGTTCTGACCTTTTCTCCTAGAGACTCCAGCAGCTCTGAGAGGCAAAGCAAACAGTGGAAAAGACAGAGCTGTTCTTACCTTTTAATGAGCATCACAGAAAGTGGCCGATGGGGAAACAGCTGAGCCAAGCCAAAGTAAAGACCAGAATCTGCTCAGAGCATTGCCGGCATCTGTAAGAACACATTGAGTGTGTAGCTGGGGAGAGAAAATAGCAAGACAAGACTCAGGCGTTTCCATCAAAATCCCACTTAGTGCAGTTCTGGGAACATAGTTCCAGTTCAGATTACATTTTATTCTTAATATAGCAATAAGTATAAGCCTTCAAACATTCATAAATGCCCGCTTAGGCCACAGCTTGCCCATCTACATCAGAAGGCTGCCAAAATAAGGAGTCTCTCCTGACCTCAGTTTCTTAGGTGAAAGGTGATACCTTGCAGTGTGTAATTCACAAGCATGGACATGCTGTAACACAGTAAAACAGCAGGTTTCATTGATTTCCTCTGTTTTCTACTTTCTATTTCTCATATGCATATTCAAGAGCAGTCTTTATAAGAAAATAAAGATCTGAGGCCAGCTTCTGGCCTCACCTGTAGTATGTATATGCAATGACATTGACATCAGGAGAAAAGGCTTTTGCTAGATATAGTCCTAGGTGTTGCAATGCAAGAGTAACCAGCAATTCTGTAAGTAGACCAAGATTTTCATGATCTCACAGGCAGAAGGTTGTAGTGCTAAATATTTTACTGACTACCCAGCATCTGAAGGGTCCTTATGGAACTATGCAAGCTAGCATAATTTAGAGCATCTCTAGATGCACCATTATAACACATGGGCCTGCACTGAGCATACTTGGACGTACCCAAGGCTTTGCCCATAATGTTTACATTAAGTGAATTGTATTTTTATTTGCACTCTGTTAGGTATCTACTTAAGTGTAACAACTCAGACACATACCAAAACTTTTAAGTAGGTTACTTCTGACTATAGGTCAAAAATTTGTCTTAACACTCACTTTTGTACCTAGTCTGTCATAATACAAACTGTTGACTGTAAAATTGAGATCTATAATCAGATCGTTGATAGTGAATGTTGATAATTGAGTTTCACATTCTGTTTAATCTCAGACTGGATATGAAAATAAATGACTTCCTAAAAAAGAGGAAGATTTTCATGTGAATTAAAGGAATCAGGACGAAATGGAATAATTTTACAAGCATTTTCACAGCAAACCTTACTTGAACCCTAAGAATAAGAACTAACTCAGCAAACCAAGGAACTTTGTCCTTCTTCCTTCCCAAACTATTTTTAACTTTTTTTTCTTCTGTTTGAAACTACTTCCAGGCATTAATGAGAGCCTATGGCCCTGCCATCTGCATGGAAAATGTGTTTGGCTACTTAGCCTGTATTGAGGCATTGGGCACACTACCCAAAGGCCTCTTCCAAACCAACTTGTTTTGTCCCTGGTCCGTAGACCTCTCTACACTTAAGTATTCACTGGAGCATTCTCGCTATGACCAGAAGCACTGTCTAGGATATATGTTCCTACTGGAGTACATATGGCACTAATTACAGTGTTTTGTTTAAGCTTACCGTATATCTCCAACCCCACCCCACCTAGAAGTTCAGCCTCTATATTGTAAAGTAGCAGTTCAAACATCTACCTCCTCACTGTCTCGGCAGAGAAGACAGGGATTGATCAAGTCATGGCAGTCTCAATTACTTTCTCAGCTTCCCCAGATAGTCCTCAAACTGGGCTGTCGAAGGGGTGCAAAGATGTATGGAGGTTTACAGCATTGCATGCTCACAGAAATGTGTTTTGCCCATGAGCTGGCTCTGGGGATGGGACCAGAGAGTCAGGGGATGAGGCTACAGGCACAGGGTCAGCAGGCAATTCTCTCTCAGTTGCAGCTAGTCTTCTGAATTGAGTGAGAGGTTGTCCCATACCTTGTGACTGTCTGAAAGCAGTTTGTCCCTCTCCAGACATGACTGAGGAACAGAAGGGGATACTTGACAAGTTGGGAGAAATGCATGATGTTCTGCAAGGAAGGATGACTAACAAATAACTTGGGCTTGTCTCTTGGTTTTATCAAATTACACTGCACTGTTTCTAGCATAAACCTATTAAATTCTCAGAAAGAGAAAGAAATCTAATTTCTATGACTATTAGCTAGATTTATCACAGGAGCCAGAAATGCACACGAAAAATAACTCATAATTTCACTCAAAACATGCAGCTCCACGTATACTCACTCAAGAAAGCAGAGAAAGGGCACAGTGCATATCCTCCCACAGTAGTGCTACAACCCCGTTCTCTATCTTCTGCAGGCATTTTCTTTGTACGTGACTGTAGGTTCAGAATATCTGAACACAGACATTCAGATGCATATGCTGTTCTTAGTTATATTGGTTAAGAAACTTTACTGTTCTTATCAGTGATTACATAATAAACAATTAAAAAGCAAATTTGTGTTTTTGAAAGCCACTCTGCACCATTGATAGTAGCAACTGCACTTGAGTAAATGATGACTTTGTAACATTAATGTTTGGCAAGTAAAGTGCTAACAAAGAGTCTTTTTTTAAAGAATGTACAATGAAATACTTTCATAGGGAGACTTAGCATTAAAGCAAAATTAACATTAGGAAAATAATTGAACATGTGATTATTTCTTCTCCAGTTATTCTGCTGCTAAAAAGAGACTGCAGATTTCCTGGTTGTGCAGGTGGGTGTATGGGGGTGGTGGTGCAGAACACTAATGGCCCGTTTGCTTCTTCCTTTCCCCTCGTTAGGACTTGCACAAAGGGAGAAGAGTGCAGCCCATCTATACTGTGGCTATCTCCAGTTCTCCATATGACTCAGCCACTTTCTCTGGTAATGTTCACAAGGTCGCTGCAGCCTCACAGAGCTTGGTGTGGGCTAAAAAGTGTAACAGGACACAAGGGCTACATTTATGCTGGTTACACATCTAGTAGAACAGTACTGAGCTAATTCCCAACAAGCAAGGGGAGGCTTTTTTATTCTCCATGGTCACACATTTGGAATGTCATGCAGACATTGCCTACCAGACAAGTTTAGTTCTAAATCCTATTGTTCTGCTGAAAGTTTCTAAACCAAAAAGCCTCCCAAACTAATATAAAGTCCCCAACTCATTTAAATTTAAATTGAAGGAAAAAAAAAACAACAATCTTAAAACAATGCATTTTTTCCACTACATGGAAGAAATATTTCTTAATACAGTTAGAAGCCTGTTCCATTTTGAAAATATGCTTTCAATTTCCAAAGCTAATTTCTATCATAACTTGTTCAAGAAAAATGAGCTTGATTGTGCCCCAAGTGCACAGCAAACACTGCCAAAGAGCACTGCTCAGAAACTCAAGAGGCATCTGAGTTATGGCAGGATAAGGTGGTAGCAGCATTGTGTGCTCCCAGAACCACACAGCTCTATGAAAGGTACTTCTGTGTCCCTGTTACCACAGTATTCCTGCTCCCCTGCTCTTTAACATACTTAAGCTGACTATAGCCTGGTATTCTTCCCTTATTTTGGAGAAAAGAAAAGAAGCGCAGAAGGATTTGTTTTCTTGGACAGTCGTTTCTTGGCCTTGTGTGTTTATCATGAATCATAGTGTTTATCTTAACAAAACAAACTTAACTCATCTAATGAACCTCTCCTAAGGAGAAGAGACTCGATAGGATGGTATGCCAATTGTCTAAATTTCACTGATGTCCCTTACCCCTAATGTTTCCTTTTGGCTGACCCCAGGTAATGCCACACTTGCGCGTTACTTCAGCCTCCTGAATCACCCTGCAGTCATCTTTCAAGGGTTGCTGGCTTTCTCCTTCGTTTATGGGTAGGGACACAGGTGAAATTAAGTTGACTGTGACTGTAGGCTTTCACTTAATATAATAACCCTTAAGAATCTGGACAAAAATGTGAAAATTTTAAATGACAATTTGCATTACGTGAGGGGTTATAAACCTTGCCCTTGGCATCTTTTCTTTTTTTTAAAGCTCACATTTTTAAGCTATTTTCCTGTTTTTATGGAGTCCACCATTCTTAATGCAGTGTATGTGACATAATTTGTGAGGAAAAGCCTTTGAAGAAGGGTTTTTCATTTTATATATATGTGCATTGGCAGTGCACAGTGTAGTGGGTCTGGCTCCCCCTAGACACTGGCAACAGGAGACTGGTTGTGAATGGGATTGTGGACATTGCTGCAGGGACTCTTAATCAGATGCAGAGCTTTCAGCTGGATTGATCTGTTAGTTCATTTACGCGTGTACCTAGGAAGATTCCCTGATACTCAAAACAGTGACCCTCAAACATCATCTTACATAAAAGAACCCAGCAGAAGGAGCAGGAAAATGAGATCAGCAAGCCTGCACATAGGAAGGCCCTGCCAGGAAGAGAAAGAAAATGGGCTGTACTTCAGAAACTCCCTCTTAACAATATTGTTTACAGGCTTAAGATAGCAGTTAAATGAACTAACAGGCTGATCCTTCCTATTAAATAGTTTGAAAGGAGTAATGCACTGGCTAATCTACACCACTTTGCCTGTAAAACATAAAGTCAGATGAGAAGATTTAAAAAAACAGGCTGGCTGAATGACAGAAGCAAAACCACAGATAACACAACAGGACCTGCAGTAGTGGAAGAAAAAGCTGTTTAAAAGATCTAGCTATAAAGTGAGATCAAAACTACCATACTGGCTACATACATCTGTAACAACAGGCATACAGGTACACCTCCTCGTCCTCAAAGTCAGCGGGACTGGGTTCAGAGTGTGACTAAGCCACAGCCCTATGGACGCTTGTTCTCATTTTAATGCTGGCTTAAGCAGTTCCTATGCAGCCGTGCTGCATTGCTCTTTTGTCTTGCAGTATCACTATTCAGTGATCTGGAACTGATCTGGATTAATGCAGTTTTTCAGGCATATCAACTGCAGTCAGTTAGAAAATCTAGAGTCATGCTAGAGAAAAAAAGTTGCTGTTACTAATCAGCTGCTCTGCAGCTGCCTCCATTTCACAGGTTATGTTCTGCTGGCTGCCTCCATTTTCAAGATTGATACCACTTGTGCTTGCTTTAGGATTTTCATTTTGTGCTGATGCCATACTTAGATTTTTTTGTCAATTAAGTTAGAGCAGCATAGCCAAAACTGCTTGATGGTAAATCTTACAATTCCTGTCATATTTCCTAATACAGTAAAAATGCTACAGATATATATA